CAGACTAAGAAACGTTTTGATATCTTGAATGGACGTGAGGTGATACAGTATAGAGTGACATGCTGTGAAGTAAGAATGTGAGAGCAGCACACCTACATTCATATCCTTAATATATGCATTTATGCGTGGAGATAAAGTTTTACACATACTCATCTATATTATAATAGACAAGATTTCAGTTTACGAACTTTCATATCAGTGGTTACAGACAGAAAAAACGAAATATACATATATATTGTCTAGATTATAATTTACAAGTTTTCTTCAGAAACTGTTTTCTTATCTAAACATTTCACATATGTTCCACACTATAAACTTGAACACAAGTATTCAACTATGTATCTGTGAGAACGTGGCAGTGGGGGACAGAGAGCACAGGAGTAAGGGGAACAGTAGTAAAAGGTTAAAGAGGGCATTAGTGCAGGTAAAGGGAAGAGAGATATTAGCATAGTTGAATAGTTACATACTTGAAACGAATACTTGAGTTTAACTTTCAAGTTTGACGCTACTGACTTTTTATTCAGTCAGTTTTTGCTATAACATGAAATTCTAACTGTTCTCAGAGGCCTCTAGTTAGATTCTCCTTTTCATAAGCTTTCGATTGATATATGGTAAAAGTATATAAATACTCATTTTTATTTCTTTTTGGAAAGAAACTTCTAAGAACGATATCTTTAATAACCCAAAACAGATCAGAAAAATACTGATTTTATAATAAAACTCGAATTTTTTCGAAATGAAAAAACTGACAGTTGGGAAAATCCTTGGTTTATACACAACTAATAGAGCTCTATTGAATGCACGATTCAAAGATGCTTTATAATCACTTTTATTTTTTTTCGATTTTTTTTTCGTCAATCGGTACAAATACCAGCGCAACTCACCCATATATGAGTGGCACTTTTGAGATCCAAATCGAAAAGGAATTATGGTAATCAAAGTGAATTCTTGGGTAAGTGTTTCGGTAGCCCATGTGCAGTACTGGTTAATATTGCTGAATTACAGTGTAATTATGGTGGATTACAGCGTAATTATGGTGAATTACAGTATAATTATGGCGAATTACAGTGTAATCTTAGGTAGTTACTTGGTAATCGTGATGAATTATAGGGTAATCTTGCAAGATTACATGATTTTTATGCGAATTACATAAGCAATTGTGTGGAATGTAGAGAAAGAGACACCGAAGTCATATGATTTGAGATGGCTGGGTTTCGAAAATTAGAAAATTGTGTTAAATTTAAGGATCATCTTTGCGTGGAGGAAGTAACTATGATTGGATGTCCTCCGCGAATATCCACGGACATTCGATTATGCTCTAAGGTAGGAAATGTATAGCAGATATAGGAGATATACGAGGTATAGGAGGTATAGGAGATATAGGAGATATTGGAGGTATATTTATTTAAATGTAAACGAGCAAGGATAACAAAATAAAAAAAATATGTAAACGAGCAAGGATAACAAAATAAAAAAAATATGTAAACGAGCAAGGATTAAAAAAATAATAGTCCTATATCTCATATACCTCCTATATCTCCTATACCTCCTATACCTCTATACCTCATATACCTCCTATATCTGCTATACATTTCCTACCTTAGAGCATAATCGAATGTCCGGGGATATTATAAAAAGACATCATATGGTAACTATCGCGGAATGTTTCGTCGGATATGCTGCTATCCGATGGAAAACGGTCGAATCGTAGTGTTTTCCGATATTTGACTGCAACCGGATCCGGTCATTTTCGATCGTTTTCGACACGTGGATCTGACAAGAATCGATTGGATCTTTTCCGACGTAATCCGGGTCGGAATCCTTTTGTTAGAATTCTGGCGTAATCCGGACCGATTGCGATCAGATTTTCCTTGGTATCCTGCTAATTCCTGATGTGTTCCGACGTCATATCCGATAGTTTTCGGTCGGATTTACCGGTCGGAATGAATCACCTGGGTAAATACTATTTGTACTTTTGTTCTAAATCACTGTGATTTAGCATACACATCTTCGTTTTGTTTTGAATCGATGATTCGTTGTATCAAAGATAAACCTCATAGAACAAAACATCTTGCATTACAAGTTGGTTAAGGTGTAGGTGGCTGTGTATGGGTATGAGGGTGGGTGTGAGCGTAACGAAATACTGATAAATAATTCAATGAGATGAAATATAACGTTACGAATTCAATGATATTTATTTGAATTAAAAGTTAAACATATATAAGAAATCATAAATTGGTACACATAAGACCACAATATATAAATTTAAGTTATAACTGTGTTCTTCAGCTTCTTATTACGACGTAAACTTTACCACACTGTTTTTATTATGAATACACGAAGGATGATTCGAGTAATACTTATGTCCTAAGAATACTATACGAACGCTCAATTCGAAGAATACTATTAAAATACTACTGTTCTCTTATTTTATTCCTCCTTTGATATCTTCATTGTCTCTCCCTCTCTCTCTCTTTCTCTTATTGTCTTTTATGAGTCAGAGGATCGAGGTCTAACACAAGTATAGACAGATCGACTATTTCTATTTTATTCAAGGTCGAGTCTGACTATATTGAACACAAGGTTAGACAGACATGACAACTTAATTTAGATGCATGTCTACTATATATAGTCTAGTCTCTCATCGCGTGATGTCTTATGAATCTAATCAGACATTCCGCTTTTCCATTCATGCCACTATAACCTAATTTTAGTCAAAAACATTACTCTATCTAAAATAAGAACTAAGACTAATCTAAAAATAGGGAACGTAAATGTGTGAATAAGAAAAATATATAAATCCTTTCGCAAAAAGTGGAAACGTCGTTTTCTGAATGTGACTAAAGATAGCCTATTGGCACACCCTCCCACTTTGCTGAGACGCGCTCCTGAGCGTCTTGATTCTAAACTCTCATTACAGAAGGGTAGCACAGAGGCCACAATATTAAATCCTAGTAGACGAAGTTATAAATAAAAAGACTTTGTTACAATATCTATATAAACTGAACTTACAACATTAAATTAAAAGAACTTTCTTCAACAATGTTTATTCGACTTATCTTGCTGAAATATTTAATTTAATGTCTCCAATAGTAATTGGATTTACAAAAATACATAATAATTCGTATTGGCGTATACTACTTCATGTAGTCATAAAAGTGTAAATTTTTATTTTCATAGAAGTTCATATCAGTCAACTTTGCTTCATTGAGGGTCCACAAGAAATTTAGAAATATTTATAGTAAATTGTAAAATTTCATAATAGTCTGTACTAACATATCTTATTTTGTAAAACTCTATAATAAGGTTATGTCAAGAAATCCGGAAAAGTAAAATCCGAAAAACAAAAAATCCGGAAAATAAAAAATCTGGAAAATAAAAATGCGGAAAAAAAATAATCCGGAAAAGTATAATCCGGAAAGAGATAAAACATGTTTGTGAACATGGAAATCTCATACCCAATATCCGCTCAGCGAGATAGTATGACAACAGAGCAAAAAAAAGAAACAACCAGATGAGGAGTCGAACCTTGAACGTACCGTGTAACAAGCGGATACTCTACCAACTGAGCTACGGTGCGGGTGTAGGTTTGTGTGTGAGACAGGAAGATCCACCCAGACTCACCCACACCCACACCCTCGCTTGCTTGGAAGCTGTAGAAGTCATCTTTCGACAACAATCTCTCAAGCTTAAAGCGGGAGCACAACAGAAGAAAGCGCCGAAGACGTTGGCCAGGCAGAAACACATCGATAACTTAGGTACTCGCTTCTGCAACGGCGACATTGATGGCGCCGAACTTCTCAACGGACTCTCTCTTTTGGTAGCTTCGAAGAAATAAACTTCTTATCAAATTGTCTCTCACATCTTCATTATTTCTACTTGTTATGTCTTCTATAATTATTACACTACGAATAAAATTTTCCTTGATTTTCCACTCTTCAGATTTTTCTTTTTCCGGATTTCTACTTTTCCGGATTTTTCTTTTTCCGGATTATTATTTTCCGGATTTCTTGACAACACCCATAATAATATATAATGTATGAAAAGTGTAATAGTCGTTCATACTAACATATCGTAATTCGTAAAACTTCATTATAATGCATACTGTATAACAAGTAACGCTCATCCTATGGATTCGCTGACCCTTTTCTGAAAGAAAGTTTAGTATGATTATAGTTTAAAATAATCTCGATTGTAATTATAAAATAGCGCTCATTTTACAGATTCGCTTATACTTTTCTGGACGAATGATACTTCAATGTGAATTAAAAAGAATTTTATACTGAAAAAGTTATTCCTGAAATATAATTAAGCCCAGTTATGGATGATTGACTTTATCATTTGGTACGAAAAGACTGTATATATATTAGATGAATCAGATCGCGTAGAACGATGCAGTTCTTGAACCTTTGAGGTTTTTTTTCAAATATACCTGTTAATGATCATGTTAATTGATATTTTCGGTGCAAGTAACTCGTTTTCGTCGTGTAAGGTTAGAAGTTATCGTCAATTATTAATATATGTAGTACAATAATCTATTAAGAAGTATAGTGATCTTCCTTTAGCAATTCCTGTTCATTGATATCGAATATTTCTTTATTCGACCTTCAACGTTTATTTATCTATCTGAGTGAACCAAACAGAACTCGATAACAGGGCATTAGTATCTACCAAGCCAGATTAATCTTTTACCTTTCGATAATTAACACAAGAACATGATGCTTCATAGAAAAAAAAACAATAAAGCACTTACTTTATTGGTAACGTGTAGTATTTCTTATAATAATATGATACAAAACAAAGGATATTTATACCCCAGTCATTACAGCACTTCGAGACCTACAACTGTTAATATTATTTTTTCGGAAAATATAAAAAAAGTTCTTCTATGATTTTTGTTTTTATTTTGCATAGTTACATTTAATATAAACAATTATCTCACATCTAATTTGTGTTTTAAAAATACACATAAAACACGATGGAAGTATGTCTATTGTCTTTCATTGACGTATACACATATGTAAATATTCAATTTTTGTTTTTAAAGTCATAATAAGTGTTGAGCTGGCTCTTGAATTAGTTGGTGGTGGCGGTGCCGGTCTCTTTTTTATTATTGACTGAGATGATGAAGAAGATCGAACATGAACCAAATTCAATGGTAGTGGCGGTGGTGCTGGTGCTGGTGCTGGTGCTGGCCTTTTCTTCATTGTTGACTGCGACGATAAAGAAGATACAACAGGAACCAAATTCAATGGCAGTGGTGGTGGCGGTGGTGGTGCCCGTTTCTTCTTCATTGTTGACCGAGACGATAAAGAAGATACAACAGGAACTAAATTCAATGGTGGTGGTATACCAGTATCTTTTAATATTACTTTCTTAGGAGGAGCTGGTGGCAGTAGACTATAATCATTATTTTCTTGAATATTCAATCCATGACTATGATTGTCCCAAATTCTGTTCATCCAAGGTGTCGAGTGTAATTTAATTAATGTAATCAAGCATCCAACACGTTGATACTAAACAGAAACATTTCTATTATATTCTTCGAACAAATTTTTAAACCTTTATTGAACAACGTGCAGGTTGAATTTTTCCTGGTAATGGTGCAATTGATATTGAATATAGTTTTGTTTGAACGCTTATCGTAAATGTAAGTGATCTAAATTTTGTTCTTAGGAATGTTTTCTGTATTTTATAAAACTTACTGATTTTGGAAATCGAGTACTTTTACATGCCCATTTGACGGAATATATTTTAAAAAATTTCGAAAGGATCTTTTCACTTTTAACTCAGGAATATTTAGATATATAAACACTTTATATGAACCTTCTTCTTGTACAATAACTAGAAAAAAAAATTTTAATTTTAATACTGTAACTCATTTACATACAACTTGGTACAATAGATTTTGTTGCATAGCCAGTTGCATCCATAGTAGTTTATTTTAAAATAGCGATATAATGTTGAAAAGAACTCGATCGAATAATAGCTGAGATGGCGGTGTTGATCGAATATCGTATTATTTTCTTATTGATCACTTATTTTTACCTATATCTATTAGATTGAACAAGATCACTTAATAGATATGTGGATTAAACAATTTGATTTTATACTTGAAATAATACACATTGTTGATGAATATTCGTCGAATTATGATGATGATCGATTACAATCTTAAATACTATTTTCCACGAATGAGACGAATAATGTTGTGGTTCAAGTTTCGAGCATATAAATTATAACTGAAACACCTGATGGTTGAAATATATGGTTAAAAAATGAATACTTCAAATTTTTTAACTTAACTAAGTTAGAATTCCAGGAAAAGTGACCGCCTTGTATTTGAGTGCAACAGAGATTTTTTTAACGTATTATGATTATTATCGCGATCAATTAAAATCAATCTCTTATATAATATATATTAATCTAAAATATTTCTGAAAACCATGGTCATTTATAGGTTAGTATAGTAATCTATTAATATACGAATATCATGAATGAAATTGAAACACTTGAATAATCGAATAAAAAACAAAGTACACACAATTTTAAATCTAGATTTAACAATATTTGACATGAAAAATGAATTTCCGACTTTAACACAAGAAAAAAACAATAGAAAAAAAGAACATTTCATTATGTACAAGTGTATTCAATTATAAATTAAAGATAAAGATAGATATTAACAAATGAATCAAATGGAAATTTTTTTCAGATCTATAAGTAGATGATAATGAGATTAAACTAAAGAGATTAACTTATACAGTTGAATTTACATTGCCACTTATTCAAATATTTACGAAAGTTCGATCATGTCAGCATCGGTAGTGGTACATGTATCAAGCGGGTTTTCATCATCTATTGATGTTACTTCACATTCTTTTAGTCTGTCCATTTTGGTATGTTTCTTAGCTATCGTTTTGTTCGTGAAATGGTAGATCAAATTGTAGTGACATGAGAGGTGCTATTCTTTTTTCGTAGATTGTGTTTTGTAGTTGCTGTTGTTGTTGTTGTATGATAACAGATTTTGTTTGGATTGACGTGCTGTTGTAATCTAATACTGTTAATGCTGTTGAAAGATGAAACCATGTTTCTATGTAAATAGATTTTATCGCAGTCAAACTTGGATCAGTTAAAAGTTGGTAAACAAACTTTTCGTTGGATATCATTGACTAGGGAAGAGGATATTTTTTTTCTTTTTTTTAGATTTAATTATTTACATAGTTTTTATTATTAATGTTGATAATATAGAACAATTAATGCTTCCCAAAAATTGCCCTTGGTTTAAATCGAAAAACCAAATATACTACAATACAGCTCAGTCCGAAAAGCATCCAACCGATAAGTGACATAGAAAGAGACCACAATTTACGACTAGGTTCAAAGATGTTGGTAACTGGAACTGTAAATGGTTCGCGTATCCGCTTCATAAGAGCATCCATTCTTTGTTCACCCGGCTTTGTATTGAACCATGACGTATTCTCTTTGAGATATCGATAAACATCCACAACAGAGATGTTATTAGTCAAGAGACTATTGTTGTACAAAATTACAAGGGAAGGGGCACTTGAAGGTAATGACCGGCCTACTAAGTTGAATCTTGGACATGCGATTGTATAACCTGGAGTGACATTTACAAGAGCAACAGGTGAGAGAACTAGTTGTTCATTCATGTTCAAAGTTTGTTGCCGAATGATGGAGTATTCAGCTTGTGGAATGTTCAAACAATAAAGAGATTTAGGTGACGAAGTGACGTACAGATTATCTCTTAGTTGTTGAACAAAATATTGTGAAGGAGGGAGTACTATTGTTTGACAAATGGATAATGGAAGACTTTCTAATATGCGACCTAGGCAAGTTTCTTGTGACATTGTCTGAATTGGTAGAGTATCACGACATGATGTCATTAACTGGAGGTCGCATCCAAATTCTTGAGGATCATGCCATTTCATAGTCATGTTATTTGTTGGATTGATGGCCCAGTATCGAGGAATTTGAGTTAGTTGCAGAGTTTGATTCTTATAAAAGAAGGGAACCGCCAGTAATTTATAAGTGAGAAAGGAGGTGTGTTTCTGTTGTGGAACAGCGAAAAAACTAGTGATGACAAGACGACCAATTTCCTGCGGATTCTGAGCTTTATATTGTGAACTAGGAATGAAGTCTATCTGTTGACGAACAAGAAGTTTAGTGATGATTTGGACAACAGGAATTGATCCATGTCGAGAATTAAATGTTAAGTTTCCTTGTTGGATGACGTGATAAATTACTTTATACAAGTCGTCTGGCAACAAAAAGTCTAAGGTGAGATCGTTTCGAAGGATCTGAGTTATCGCTAAATAGAGAAAGGACCGTTGAAGCTGAATATGTAACTGTTCAATACCACTTTTAAGAGTATTAATAGCTTCTGCGTGTGAGCTTAAAATAGGGATCATAGTATTGAGAACTTGTTGTGTTACTCGAAGTTCATCTGCCAATTCAATCTGATTTGCATGAATTTTTGCTAGTTGGGCTCCCTGTATTTGCAGATTGTGAGAGTATTCTGTGAGGGCTTTTTCCACGACTGCTACTTGTTTCTGAAGGTTTGATATTTGCATACTATTAGCGGCAGATATACCGAGATTGATAGCTCCCATGCCTAGACTAATGAAATCGGTAATGAGACGTTTTTGTCTTTTTGTTGTAATATTGCAAGCAGCAATGTTCTGAGCAGCTGATAGAGGTAAAAAGTGGCATGTAGCTGCAGTCATCGGAAAAATTGCTGAATTATGAACGATTGTTTCAGATGGTGTGTACAAACCAACATAACTAAGAAATAAACCTGTTTCAGGATGTGCAATCGTAGTATTTTCTGAAAAAATACTATTAAAGTGAGTAAGAACATGCAAAGGAAATAGAGTGCAGAGCGAAAGAATAATTGTAATGTTGTATTTCATGATTGATGCACTTACGACGTTTGTTGCTAATTCGTGTTGATCAGGAAGATTGATTGAGGAGAGTGAAATGCTTTTTACAAATATCTGAAATAAATGAGCAAATTACAAAAGGAAAACATTATTGGTTTTTTTAAATTTTTTTGATGAATACAATAATAAGAATTACACAAAACATTAAACAGAAAAAATCACTCAGAAATAGCACAATCAATAGAAAAAAGCAAAATGATCAAAAAGTCGTCTTCGAAAAACTGAGTGCGCTTATTTATTTGTTAACTAATTGATTATCATAGCCATCGTGAAAATTATTGTTAGCGTTGATAAAATCAAATAAAGATCAGTCGATTGTATAAAGAAGAAATTTCGTCGTGATAATATATGACGAGAGCAAAAAATTGAATTATTTGGCTGTGGTGAATGTGAGAAGGTGCAAACTTGTCTCACAACATGTCACAGGAAATATTGAGCATAACGTTGTTTTGTTTGTTGAAAAAGTACAGCTAGTCTGTTAACCTCAGTGATTTGTCCTTTAGAAGGTTTTACTTGCAAAGCACTGATGTTGAAGTCTTGTAAAATAACGAGATCTGTAAGTTGTTCCACGCGTGATAGTGGCACATAAGCAGATGCCACTTCTACCATTCCCGGTGGCATATTCAAATCGATAACTATTTTTGGCAGCGTCTGACCTTGACTCTTATGAGTAGTAATAGAGTAGGCCGGTATAAGTGGCAATGCTTTTCTCTTCACAGAAATAGTAGCCTTAAGTTTTTTATCTTTGAACATTTTCATAATTGCTCCCTTGTCTGCATATAGTTTCTCGAGATTGATGTCAAACGTTTTTTCGATGGCAGGAATAGGGATGATGTGTGAATCGAGCGAATCTAGATTTTTCAATTTGGACTTAGGTACTTCTACCAATGCATATTGAGCATTGCGCACAAAGACTGTATCCCAGGACATTCGATCCGACTTGTGGACCGTACGGGAACATATCGCATCCGACACCAGATTACTTCGGAATCCGACGCACTCCGTTGAAGACCGACCGGAACCGACCCAGTTTATGTCGGATTCTCACGTACAGGATTTCGGATCGGATTACACCGGAAAAGATCTGGTCGGATCTTATCGCAACTGACAATCGGATCCGACCATGCCCTGACATAACCATCTTCTAAAAACCTCCGGATGATCCCAGATTCAAAACCGGATAACATCAGATTTCAACAGATTTCCTCAAGTTTTTTGAATTCATTCCAATGTCGGATCCTGCCGGAAAACAATCCTTCATCATAATCTAAAATCCGACAATCGGATTGCAACGGATCTACACCGAAAATCATCAACCAAAATAATTACTTCTAAATACCCATTATTCCTTTACAATCTGGCAATCCGATTACATCGGATCAACACCAGACATCACCACCTAAAACAATTCCTTTGGAATCCGCACAATTCGGCTACAGTCCGGTATGGAAATCATCGGACACTACACCATCGATATTCGATGGCCAGAACCGATCGGTTTCCCCAAAATCTGGAAAGATCCCATCAAAACCTGCTGTGAACCAGACAAATCCGGCATTTTTTGGCGTAAAATCCGTCGGCCGGATTGACCGAATTAACATAAATTTCAATCCTACTTTATATCGGAAGATATTGGATCCGACCGAGTCCGACCAAATCTGGTAAATGCTACTATTATAAAGCAACTTATGATCCGTCGCTCTGCGTTAGTTGGGGTAACTGATTGACCGTTCCTCTACACCCACATCCTCACCCACACCTAAGATACTCACTTTGACCAATGTGAGACTTCAAAATCTCCAAACAAACACTTTCTTAATAAAATAAATCTCAAGATATCGTTCCTATCTCGTTCCTAAGAGCAATCTTAGATTAGAATCAAATCATCGAAGCCATACTGAAAACTGACCAAATGTGAATACAGGAATCCCACTTTGAAAATCAACTACCGTTACAAAATTCCACTAGAACTAGGATAGCCAGCAAAGATTGTTATATATGATTCCCATCTCATTCCCAGAGAAATATTATAGTGAGGTAGAGAATGGCATGTGAAAAGACAAAGTGAGCACAAGATGCTCACTTTCGAAATAGAGTTATGGGACAAAGTTTCATGAGCATTTTCGAGACAAAAACGAACGCCGACTACGATTCGTATATCAGTCGAAGCAACATACTAGGTTGAATCGGCGAAGAGCATGTGTACGAACCGAGTGAGCAATACTAAAAACAAGATGCTCACACTGATTTTCGAACTTTGAAAAACTAAAGTTGAAATATAAAAAGCAAAAAATTGTATCGATATTTTGCTTTCAGGCTATTCGAGCAGTGAGATCTTCTTTGTCCCGCCGACTAGCCTAGATGTGAGAATGAGCACTCATGCTTACTTTGATTTCAGAACTTTGAAAATTTAAATTAAAAAAAAGAAATCATAAAAATCGTATCGAGTGATAATTTTTGTGAGCATTGGTTTTTTCGAATGTTTCACAAGTTCTTTTAATGTCACATGAGCTCTCATGCTAACTTTGATTTCAGAACTTTGAAAATGTTGTTCGGAGGAAAGGGTCGGGAAGCGTATTGGGATAAGATTTAGTTGATGTTTTTTCTGATATATATGGATATTTTACTGGCTGTTGTCTGTTCTGCTGTTCTTATCAGAACGGTATGTATCCGGTAGTCGGGTACGGAGGGAGCTGTGTATCAGTTTCCGTATTAATCCGTTGAATGAAATTGATGTGTTCTTATTGCGTCCGATCGGTTCCGGTAGTAGGAAATGCGCGATATTTTGTTGTATAGTATCGTCTGAAATACGGTTGGATACGATGGTCACCGTTGTTTATCGGTCAGAAGAACGATGTGTTTTCTGGCGGATTCGATCGGATACAGTTGTCTGGACGTACCGGTTCCGATAACATTGATTCTGTCGGTTCTTCATGAATTCGTTTGTCGTTTTATGTAGGTATTTTCTGAAAGTTGTCGGAATGTGGCGGATGGTATCTGATAGGATCCGATCATCGGATTTTGTCGGGGTTGAAGCCCTCCTGGTAGGTTCCGATCCTGTGTCTTTCTCTTGGGTCAATTTCAACACCAATAGTCACCGGTGCTGCATATATGCTCAAGAAAGAACTTATGAGTTATGGTGTTGCCAATCCTGAGCCTGGTCTGATCTATTCATGGATTTTAACATTAGCAAATGGTTTACAAGTAACAAATACTACTGGAGCAGGTCTTATTTCACTTGGTTGGCGACAATGTACATTCATGTGGCAAACATTATCTGCTAATCAGTATATCGAAAACAACTTTGTTACTGATTCGGCAAGCGATTCATATGGATCGAAAAGAATGGATGTAGTTGTATGGTGGCCAGAAGCCAGTGCACAAACTGTTCGTAATCAAGTGTCACTCAAACTGAAAAATCCTCAAAATGTTGTACTTGCTCAAGCAAACACACCTCAACAAGTATGGCAAAAAATTACTTATGTACAACCAGGAAATACACTAATACCTAGTGGTTCATATACCATTCGTATTGATGTAGGTACTCTTCAACCAACAGCAAGTAATGTGCGTCTTTTTCTCACTGCCTGTACTCGACCAGAATAAATGACTCATTCATTTTTTTCTATCATTCTATTCTATTCATATATCTACATATTTAATCTTGATTTTCATTTTTATCTTAAAAGACTTTCACTCAATAAACTATTATTTTTAATAAATCAATTTAAAGCTCAAATCAATACGAAGGATTGAGGATTTCATTTCTCATGCATTTCAAGGTATGAATAATATTTTAGATGTGGGTGAATAAGCAAATGGCATTCACCTTGAATTCAAAACATGATTAAAGAGCATTCCACGAGGGTGTGAGTAATGAAGGACCACACCCACTCTCAATTAATTTTATTTGTGGTGCTAATTTTGATAAAGCAAATACAAATCAATTATTAACTCTATTGAATAGTATTCATTCAAATGATGGTTTACCAGAGACAAGCCATAAACTATGGGAACGAGTTGGAATTGATTTTTTATTCGAAAGTGATATATATTGTACTACTTGTAACTGACAACTATTAAAGTTTGCCAGTAAGTATGAATAGTTTATCGATATTTTGTCACATGAAATTTTGTTAAAAAGATGTTTAATTGCCTCTATCGTTTTCAGATTTCGGATTTTATTTGCATACATATGACAAAAAAATCATCTAAAAACAAGTTGCATATAACAGTACAAATCAAGTCGATGAATCATGTATTACTAATAATAATACGAGAATGTGTGAGAGTGTAGCTCTTTGGCCTCTTATCTTGAGTTCACCCATACCCTAGTTTTCATCTTTAAAAGACATGGTTTCTTAGGCGTCTCGGATATTTTTGTGCATGCGAAAACTTCAGTATGTTCCTTCGGATCAGCAAGACTTATAGACGACGCTTCTCGATATATTCCCAGATACTAGTCATTTATTTACTATAAAATGGGGTAAAAAAGGCTACTATATATATTTCAAAGAACCATGCTTTGCTACCATTGTTCTTGATGGACATCAAAAAGCAACACAAAGAGTTTTGCGCAATAAAAATCATATCTATTCCTAGCATCGATAGATCTATTCGTGACGTCAAAGCAGGATGTTCTGCTACATCTAGGTATAAGAGTAAAAGATATCATGAACATTCATCAACAAACACTGATGATAACAGTTTCGATTTTATCTTCGATGTAAAACATTAAATTCGTTACAATACAAACACATATTGCATCGTAGTAGCAGCTTATAATTACGGATTTGTCTGCAATATTTATCAATTATTTGGATGTGAATCTGTTACACAAATATATAACTTTGTCTACAAGACAAAAGTTAGAAGGACTCACAATTTTTTGTGATAAACTGCACTATCGAAATCATACAGATTTTTATTGAACTTTACTGAAAGAAAAAAGATCAACTGTCAGTCGTGGAAGAACAAATGAAAAAATCTTAAACTTACTTAATGCTCATAAACTACCTTTATTTGATCATGTACTATATTACTAACTGATCTCTATTCATTCTCATCAATTTGTTGTTGTTCGTTTCTTCTTTATTTGTCCATTTCTGTGTGTTGTCTTACTTTTTCTCTTTTTTTTCTGTAATTTAATTCTGTGGCTCTATTTTTATTTCATAGCTAAAACTAACATATATATAGTTTTTTTTGTAACATTTGCCTCAGAGACGATATTTCGTCTAAGGCATCGAAAGTGAGGATTGCTAGTCCACACACACTTCATATTATTTTAAATAAAACAATTAAAATTAAAATAAATCATGTAAATCTTAGGTGTCGTCAAAATACTAATCCATATATATCGTTAGATGTATCAACGAATCTACTTTTTTTAATTTATATCTGTCTTCTTGACAATTTATTCAATAGTAATAAATAGGACAAGAACTACATTATTTTAAGTTAATATTATAAAAATCTAGTACAATACAGTATTATCTATATTTTGCTTCGTCGTAAATTGTGTAATTTTAATTGTCTTTAAAAAAAGATATTTGTTAACACTCTTATAGATTTTATCTTGTTTTGTTTTCGAAAAGTGCATATACTGCGTGTTTGTAGTTATTAATACCTTTTGATAAAAAAAAACTGCGAAATATTGTAATCTTTTTATTAACATACAGCTGTTGATTTTCAAAACTGATATATTCAAAAAGTTTTCTTCTTGTGATCTTGTTGTTTGGTGTTGATCGAATTCTCGCTATAAAAAGTAGTTTTCTTGAAATAGTAACGAATAGTACTGTTGATTCATGTTGATCACTGCAATGATGACATTTGATATCGCATTCGGTATATTCATCTTCTTTTTTGTCGTTTTCGTATCTACGATGTACATCAAATTTGCTTTTACAGTCTTTGTTCAAATGTTCAGGTGTATTACATTTTGCCCATATGAGTATTCGTGGATGTGCAAGAAATTCAGCTACTTCGATTATTTTTCCATTGATGCCTATAATCCCGCTGTTTAGAATTTATATATATTCACCTTGAGTAGTTAAATCAATTTTTACATGACGACTTTTCCCATTTATTAGATCTTTCATTTCTTCTGTTTGTAGCTGTAAATGGGTGATTCTTCTCTTGACTCGCACTCATACCCACACCCACACCCTCACCCTCATCGGTATGGGGACAACTCTGGCCCTTGTTGGCGCTTATATTCTTGCCGGCGAGATTGGACGTGATCGAGATCATAAGGAGGCGTTCAAGCAATATAAAACCCTAATGCGTCTATATGTTACTAAAGCTCAGAAAATATTTCCGGGGACTACGCGTATTCGCTCTCCGGAAACCCATATGGGAATTAGGTTCAGAAATGCCGCGTTGAGCTTTGTAGCTAGACCCACCGTTATGCGACTTATCGAAAAATTGATAAAATCAAAGCCTGATGATACAGTTTCACTACCAGATTATGAGACTATATTGGCTCAGCAGTAGAGCACCATTTTGATTTATTTTTATTATTTCATGATTCTAGAACTTTGGCTGTTTCTTTTTAGAAAAATATGAGTAATGCTGAATGTCACTTGAAATTGCATCTACACCTTGTCTTTTACTATTCATGAATAAAAGGTTGATGAAAACTATCAATATTTCTTCATCCTACAGCAAAACATTTTCATTGTTGAATAACATTAAATGACAAATCAGCTATTAGAAGACTGTTTTAAAAAATTTCATGTTTTAAAAAGTAAAAAGGTAAAGAAAAAATAAACCACACATCCATCTTATATTATTCATCACATGTCAATAGAAAGATTTTATTTCTTTTTGTATTAAATTACACTGAAAATATTGATATTTCTTTTACTGACTGCTTATCAACATGTATCCATACATAAAAACAGTAAATCGTCACACCTACGCAGAAAAGATCAACAACATATATTTATATATATATCGGATATCAATGATTAGTAAAAGAATATGAGATTCGATCAAATCTTCTTAACCATCGATATACATAGATTCTTTTTTTATTTTGCGAATATGACTTCATTACAAGCAGACAAAACGACTATTGTTCATGTTCGCCTTGTGTTTCTTCGAATAGGTATTGTATTTAAGAAATATATTAAACATAATTTATTTAATATTAATCTAGGTGAAATTGATACACTAAATGAAAAATATCAAGCACATGCATCGATTGAATCTCGTTGGTTAGTTCCATATGATAAACTTTTTTCTAATATATCAACTGTTGATCAAGAACGTTTAATTAATGGAAGATCGATTTCATTAGATAAATATGATGGATCTTATTGGCATCCTCAATTATATATTGAAAATGCTTTAGGTGATTTAAAAGAACAAATAAAATATAGCGCAAAAATAAATTCTAAAGATCATCAAATCTATATTTGTGAACATCGTATTATAAAAGGATTATTTTGGGAAAAACTTGAATTACAACATTTTCCAAGCGATGTTCAAGATTTATCGATATCAGTTACTTCAATGTTATTTCATAATAAAGTTACTTTAATTCCTGATCTGCATCATCCTAGTGGAGTTAATCGAGAAGCATTTGTTGATCAACAAGAATGGTCATTATATGAACATATTGATACAGAACAACGATATATTAATGAATTTATTTTTCGAATTGATCACGATGATGATGAAGAGGATGATGAAGATTATCAACAAATTAATAATAAAAATAAAGAAGATCGTAAACGTTCAGTTGTAACAGTTACCTGTCATGTTGGTTTGTATTCAATTAGAAATATAAAAAAACAAATAATAAGATTTTCTTTTTAAGCTCGTCAATCACAATATTTCTTTTGGAATGGATTTTGTCTTATTTTTTTGATCACTCTTGTATCATTTTGTGCTTTTGGACTACCATTACAGTGAGTTATTTATAAGAATTATATATCATAAATTGTATTTTTATTAACAGATCTATAGTAAATCGACTTCAAGTTGCAGCTACACTTCTTTTGACGTCAATTTCATTTCGTTGGACAGTAAATAGATCACTTGTAAGTTTTATTATCCAGAGAAGTGGAGTACGGTTTTGCTAATGACTTAGATTTTGTTTTGGTTTAGCCTACAATCTCTTATTTAACATCATTGGACAAATATGGAATATTGTGTATATTTAATCTTGTTATGCATGCTATTTGGCACAGTATTATTGCTGTAATTATATATGAACGCACCCCAGATTTTCGTGTGCCCAAGAATTCATGGATTGAACATTTAGATCGTGGAGCATTTGGTCTTTTTTTTGGTCTTTTTATTCTACTTCATATTGCAATGATTCTATGGCTCTTTCTTGTCCCTTTCAGACATCGTAAACAAATGAGACAAAAAGATGAGCAATATCGAACATTGATGCTTCAGAAAAGCAAAGCTGCTGATAATCATTCGTTTCCAGCAGTTCAAAAGAAAATTGTTTATGATCGAGATTTCACAAAGATATAATAAGAACTCTTTATACTTAATTACCGATTTATTTTAAATAAAATATACGAGATATCGAACAAGTCTACGAGAAAAAACCATCTTGAGGGCGAGTGTAGGTGTGAGATGGATACACCCTTGACACCTACATCCTTTATAATAAACTAATGAAGTTGTAAGAATTAGTTGAATACTAAATAACCTGTGATATGTCACTTTTGCATATCCTACTGTTTCACTGACATGAGCACGATGAATGATTTTATTACATCGATTAAAATTAACAGAGGATGGGTAGATCTTACTTGTACCACAACATACACCCTAAAATACGAACTAAAATCATACTTTTATTAGAAAGAATAAAGCGGAATATGACAAGATTGGATAAAATATGAGAAAAATGCTTTTGTTTCTATACGATTACGATACATATAAGCAATTATTAGAAGTTAATTAAATGGATTGTAAATGATGATTTGTTTTCTATTTCTATAAAATGAATAGTAATTTTTTATTTTGTTGTCATTCCAGTCACGATCCGTTCAATTGTCATCATTGGAATTATCTCCTTAAAAAAAAATTATAAACAGTAAAGTACTTTTATTGAAGAAATTTAATATTTCTAATTGATTCTACTCCAAATATATAATCGAATAAACAAACAATAGTCGCTATTGTTACGATAAGTAGTTTACTAATAAAAAAATGTTTGCTTTCATGTGTAATTCATAAAGATGTGTCTCTGTCATAATTAATTTTCGGAAGAAAAAAAACTATGTTTAAAATTAAAATTTTCATTATTACCTTGATTATCATCATCGTCACCGTCTTCAATTGTACGATCATCATCATTATTACTTCCATCATCCATCTGTCGATAATCAGTTGAATCATCTTGATCCCAATGATCTTGACCTAAATTCTCAGTTTCAACTTTTCGAATGGTCCAAACATCAAAACAATAATCTGAATTTGATAGATAATCATAAGGAATATAACAATAACCTTTATCTCCCTAGAAAAATAAATATTAACAATTGAAATATAATTATAAAAAAAGAACTCTTTACCCAATCTTCTCCCCATGAATTTCGAACAATAAATGATTGTGATTGATCACTATAACCGACTGCTAACAGAGCATGACTGAAGAAAAAATATCAAACAAATATTTCAATAATTGAAAAACTAACCTTCCATCTGATTGTCGATTTTGATCAGAATCATTTGGCATTGGTACAACACCAGTTTTAGCTGCTTGATCAAATGATGTATAAAGTTTTAATCCGAATGCAAATGGAAAACCTTGTGCTAAACATGATTTCATTTCATTTAAATCAATATTAACTTGCATTGCTTGAGTAATTTTATGACCTGTTGCTGCTTGATAAGCGTCATCCGATGGACGTGTGTTCACTTGTGATATATCATATGGCCAAATTGATTCAAGACAAACACCAGATTCTTCCAATGCTTCAATAGCACTTGTCATTGTACATCCTGAATCAGTAACAGCAGACTTACTATCTTCTTTAACACGGCCATTATAATAGATAAACAAACGACTTACGATATTATCATGATTCTTTTCTTTTTTTGATAAATACTCATAAGCACCTAATGATAAAATATTTTTATTAATCAAAATATAATGTATTTATTTTACCAGCCAAACAATTTCTGAACTGAAACAGAAGAAAATCAAAAAGTAAATTTTATGAATGGAAAGAAACATTCTTACCAACTACCAATTTGAGATTGATTTTCGATGGGTGCCATATTATTTCGTAGATCTGCTTTAGGTGGTAATTGATCAGGGCTATAAGCGACATGATCACTAAACGATTGACGTAAGTGTGCTTTATGTGGTAGACGTCTCGATGGTCGCAGACCATTAATACGAAACTTTTGATTTTGATTTCGATTGATCAAGAACTTTTTTGACGGCATTTTGTTTACAGTACTTTTTGTTTAATAAAATGTACTATTTAAGTTTTATTCGACACGATAAAAAGAAAAAAAAATATGCTCCGTAGCTCGTTTCTTTTTTTTCTATTTACTTTCTCCATTCATATTTTTTTGCACATGTCGAATAAACGCTTCGCCTTATTTTTTTGTTTTTCCTCGCATTTTACATTAAATATTTTGTTTTTGTTTTTACTACTGAGGTAAGAGGAAAAATGGAATGTAATTTGTTTATTCAGTAAAAATAATTGGAATATGATTAATATATGTTGTATACAGTGAGATGTCACTCATATACATAGTCTCATTTGATCCTCTATCTTAATCTCTCCACATCGTTTTCCTTTCATTATATGGAAAAGAAGAGAATAGAAATCAGTTGGTTACATCGAGTTAAACATTAACATTCGACTGAAAAACATTTATTATTTCAGAGTTTTATGATAAATATTTGATATAGCGTAAAATAAACCATTTTTTTGATTATCTCGTAATTACTAGCATCATTTGGTCTACTTCAGTTATTGTAAAAGCAGCTAATTTGTTTTCAAAATAAAACAATTGTGAGATAATATTTTTCGATTTATATAATCTATCGAAAACTATTTTCATTAGAAAAGGAAGTATGTCTTATCAACTGTATAACCACTAATTCATGTATCCAATATACTGTTTATAATGTGACTCATTGTCATACACTTCTTTACTATCATTTGTAATAATATGCACACTTGAATGAAGCCATCGACTTTTCGCTTTTTATTGCAAATAAGAATTCAAGGAAATTTTCGTCAACAAAAACACATTGTGAATCGTATATGAATATGAAAGAATACATAATGTCGATTGAAGTAGTATTCAGGTTTTGTGATTCTGATAAAAATTAGCTTGAGAAAATGATTGATGAATTCAATTTATTCATTTTCAATATTTATAAGAAGTCGCTAAAAGTCAAAGAATCTAATTCATTGATTTTTTTATGTTGTTAATTTGATCATATCTAAAGTTCGATAAAATAAATAAATATGAGACAAGTGGAATATATGATAGTTAAAATTGGATCTTCATGGCTATCAATATGTACTTATTCTTCACTAATACTCATATCATGAGGATAATAAAATTTTTTTATATTAATGAGATCAAACTTCATAATTACAGAACAATCACGAAGGATAACCATTTTTTTTACTATCAGTACTCAAGGAAAAATTAAGTAATATATACTTCTGAATATCTAAATATCATACTGTGACGGATTATATCCGTCATTATCTGCGTGACCTCGGTCATCCATTGAACATATATGTACACGATCATCTTTTCGCTTGCGAGCATGAATCGCGTACATACATGCTTGATCGATGACCTCGATCACGGAGATATATTAACTTAATAATGCAAAAAATCAGCAAATTTGATCTCAAGACTCTAATAGATTGAAATGCTTTAGTATTTAATTTTATATAAAAAAAAGCTATACGATAGTTGATAAAAATTAGCATCTAACGACTCGAATTTTGATTTTTTTCTTATATCTTCGTATAATCGACCGATTTGATTTGATTGTAATTATTATTAAATATCGAAAGATATTCTGATTAAAAAACTAATTTATAATTCATTTTTCTTAATAAAATATGCATGCTATGAGTGAATGTTAAAAATGATTATCACTAGAAGAAACAAAAAAAAATTTCCTGTTCTTTTTTTCTTCTATATAAAGTTCATCATATTTCTTTAGTCTACAAATGCACCAAGGAATTCATTTTTTTCTTCTTTCTTTCTACATTGAAAAAAGAAAAAATTTTTCTTTCTTCCTTGCTATTGTAAAGCGGGTTACTATAGTGTATTTAACAAACATACTGTAAGAAAAAATTGACACAAAAAGAAGAATTTTTTTCTTATATTGAACTCTCATTGAAAATCAAAATAGTAAATATAACAATTATTATTGATAATACAAATTCTAATTATTATTTAGATGAGTCATATTCCTGAAGGACATCAAGGAACGTCTATTCATCATATCGGAGTCGTTAAAGGAAGTACACAAAGTAAGCTTATTCTTTGTGTTTCTAATAGGAATTATATGTTCTTTTTTTTTCTATAGGTGCCTACCGTTGTGAGATTCTCGATCGTGAATTTATGTTTAGTGATCAATTGGCAACAGTTATAAGTGGACTGTATGGACATGATATTGCTGAAGTATTTCCTTTTTCTTTATTTATATTAATTCTTTTATTTTCTTCTAGCATGCACATTTTTATGTTGATAAAAAACGTGTTAATCGTCAGTCATTATTAGACGACCATCAAGGAAAAGATGTACATGTTTATTATGCGGATCATATTCACGATCCGAATCGGTATGATATTTTTACAATTGGATACTTTTATATTATTATTTTTTTTAAGAATTGGTTCCTTTATTATTCCTGTACTTGAACATCATTTGACACAAAGACACCATGAAACTGGTCATATCTCTTAAAATTATATTGCTTCTTAATATAATGAACTAATTGATTGATCTTTGTATTAGCTATTGTATCTTTTATTTGTTGTATTAATAAATAAAATTTCAATTATAATTATCGTTTCAATTTAAAAAAGAAAATTGACTTTCTTTTTTCTAATAAGACCTTATTGTAAAAAACAGTTATGAATAAACTAAAAACTTTCAGATTGCATAAGTTCTCTAATTCGAGTTTAAATATAAATACTATTTACAGAATATCTTCAGGACAGCTAAAAATATGAAATATTGAATAAATCATCACTATGCTAATTATAATAATTTGTAACTAAGATATAAATTTGGTATTAATAAATTCAATGTGAAAAAAAAGAAACTTTAGTAAATGAGTAAACATGAGTGTGTGAATATTCTACTTACACGTTCATTTATTTATTTATGAAGAAATGATAAAATATATTGATTATAATAAACAGTCAAATTTCATTTACAACGAGAAGAACTTGTATTTAAATTATGAACGATTTAACCAACTTAATAGAGATGAACTCAAAGAAATTCATGAACAATTTAAAAAAATTTCAAATGCTATCAGCTATTCCTTTTCCTCCAAAGAAGTCACCACATTTCATGATACCTATTTAATTTTTTAAACCATGAGATTCTGAATAACAAGTCGCTTTACCTAAAATATAAAGTTTTATCAATTGAGAAGACTTTATATTTATTTTTACCTTTTAATATCACGTAGAATGAATTACTAATTTCATCTTGATGTTGAATAATTTCACCTTTGTAATATTATCCCAGGTCGATGTTTCTGAACGCCGTTTCTGGCGTCGTTTAAGGCATGAAACGACTATAAAACGGATAAATTCCATACATATAATAGTAGAAAGTTTAATCCAGCTATTCATTCAAGTACCCAACTATTCAAGTTTTCAACTTTTAAAGTTAATAGTAGGCGCTTCCAACTATTGGTGCCTGGAAGAGTGTAGAGGAGAGAAGTAGCTGAGTGCGGGTGTCCAGAAGGGTACACGGGGGGGGGGGGCAGGGTTTCTAATAGAAATCTAAAACAAAATGTATATGTACATTCTATTTTTCTTAGCCTAGTGTATGTGTACATCTTGTTTTCGTATTCCAAGTGTATCAAAGTGTATACACTTGACGTTTAATACAAAATAAAGAAGTGAAAAATAGAAGAGTATTCATGCCTTTCTTTCGTAGAGCAATTAAATAATGGTAGATGAACAAATATACAATAAATATAAATACAATTATCTTTCCAAGGTACGAATGATAATTTGTATCAAAAAAGGTTACAATATTTCATTGTTTAGACATAACTTTTGAAATTCATATTATTCTTAAAGATTCTCAGAATTAGAAGTAAAGTGTTATTTCATTAAAGAAAGTGTATTTCGTACACTTTAGTTTTTGGTATAAGTGTACCGCAGCGTGTATTTCAAGAGGAGCAAGTGTTCCGTACATTTCGATTATGCTTGGTACACTTGCTATTAGAAACACTGGATGGGGGAGGGGGAGCAGCTGAGTGTGGGTGTCCGGAAGGGTGCAGAGAGGGAGCAGCGTAGTGAATAGTTGGAAGCTTCTACTAATAACTTTAAAAGTTGAACAGTTGGACCGAGTTAACAAGTTCTACACTACTCCCTATAGGTGATATTAAAATTTTAGTTTCCCCTAGGGGAATTTTAAATTCTCCTGGATTTTAATTTCCCCTGTAACATATATATCAAACAAGTAACGCTCCTCCGAGGACTCGCTTAGCTCTTTCTCGTAGAAATGCATTCTCTTCATGTTTACTAAAAAAAACAATGAAAACCGTGAAAAATTGATCTTCGATATTTTCATGACCTTTGACCCCTCTTCATCCGCCCCTTCCACGCGGTTACTCAAAACTCCTTAGATTCGATGTCTCTGCGTCGAAAAACCTCTAGAAAACTGTTTTTCGAAAAATCGGTTTTCGATGTTTTTTTTGACCCTGCGGACATACAAGCAAACAATTTATGTTTACTAGACTCTTCTCTACGAGAAAGAGAATAGGTCTGATAAATATTAAAAGGGATGATTTGAATTTAATTTCCCACTTGTATAAAATCGAATAAATAATATTTTTCATTTAAATTTGAATAAGTCAAATTGATTTACCCTAGAAAAACAAAATTCGGTGATATATGAATATAGACGAATTGAATTTATTTATATTTCAAAATAAAATTCTTGATTACAATAATAGACTAAATATACTAAAATACATTAAAAACTAAGGCACGTCTTATTATTATTCATATAGACAAATTAATGAGATAAATTATTTTTAAATATATTAAAATATAAATTGAGATGATCTAATTCTTGTTTTTTGTTCGTACGAATATAATTAATAATAAATGTGAATTTTTGATCTAAATCTTCTAATTTATCTTTAAACATAATTTCACTTGCTGTATTATTAATAATTAATCCTCTTTGAATTGGATCAATACCAAGAACACCAGAACCAGTAAAAAGAGCAATTATTGTATCAATTGAATTATATAAACCAATAGACAAAAATATTGATAATAGAAAAAGTTTATCAGATATTTTATTAATAAAATTATCAATTTCATTTAAGAATTTATTTAAATATTCTTCTTTTTCATATTGTTTAAATGTATCTTTTATAATTTCTCTTTGTTGTTTGATTTTATTAAGAATAGTTTCAATATCAAAATCATATTTTTCTTGAATTGAATTTATATTTAATTTTAAACTATTAATTTGATGTAATTCTGAATAAAACCATGCGTATCGTCTAAAACGACTTATCTCATTAAGTATTTCAGTTAAACCATCGATAGATTTATTATAAATTCTTATTAAAAAATCTTCATATATTCTTTCTTGTTCTAATATTGTATTTTTGACCTAAAATTAAAATGAAATATTTTTTACCTAGAGAGAAGAAAAAAAACACTTAACATGTTGCGAATAGAAGATGTCGATATACTTCTAGATTTGAATCAACTCGTAACTATCTTATACAAAAGTTCTTATAGCATATGTTTAGCCTTCGTATTAATCGAGGTCATCAATATGTCATCACTCATTTAACACGATGATATTGTTTATATTATATTCTCATCCATCTTCTTTTCTTTTATATAAAAAAGATTTTCAATAATTCTCAAATTTCGAATTAACTATAGAAATTTATAGGAAAAGAAAAATTTCATTTTATTTTCGAATATTACCATTATGATATAAACGAGAGTAGATAATTAAGAAAAAGATTGAACTAATCAGGTCTTATTCTATTCAATTCCAAATACTTATTTAATAGTTTCTCTTTCAAAAATAATCCTATCAGTTTTCAATTAATGTAAAATCCCTTGTTCTAATAAGGATACGTAATTCTGCTTTTCTTTCACAAAAAATATTTTGTCAGAAAAACAAGATTTTTTATCATAAAATTATAGAAAAATGCTGTATTGATTTTTCTAATCTATTTTTTATGCTAAATGATAAAATCTTCGATAATAATAATAATAATTAATAACCAAAGATTCTGAATGCGATAGTAAAATTAATTCAAATACATTAACTATTGATATAATAGAGAGACAAGAGGCCAGGTAATCATCGATTTTGAGTAGACTAAGATTATACACAATAGCTACTTTAGTTATGTAATAGAATTAAATCAAGAACTATCCATGTATATGAAACAAGAGAATATATAATCTATTGAAAAAATATATAATTAAATAAAAGGATTATTAGTTCATAATAGAAAAAAATCTATTAGAAACATATAATTGTGTACAATCGATTAAAACTATTCTATTGCTTATTTCTCGATGAATATTTAATATTGATTAAATTAGAAATTTGATATTACTAAACTTACATCCATATATTAAAAATTGATTATTAGAAGTTGAATAAATATCTCTGCATTATTGTGATATTAGAAGATTATCTAGAAATTAGAATTAATAAGAATGATAACAACAGTCGTTTGTAGATTAAAACAAATGTTACTGTCATAAATAATTACTTACTAATATATCATAGAAATAGAAAAATGACAGGACATTTAAACAAATAGCAAATATTAAGTGTATAATAAATCAATAATCAAAAGATAAATTTGATTATGTAATATTCGAACTTGTAAAAAAACTCAAGTATTATATAGTCAATTTTTTATTTTTTGACTTATTGATTCTATATTATGATTATTCGTTTTTTATTCAGTTGAGCTAATTAAATCATATATAAACTAATGATATTTATGGTAAAAGAGATATTTTCTAATGAATTCAAAGAATAAGAGATTAGTTAAATGTAAGATTTTAATCTAACATAGGATTTTCTATAATTCTAGTATGCTATTGAAAAATAACATAGAATTATATATAAACTTAAAAAGATAATATGGAACTTTAAAGATGGAGAATGTCAAGTCATCTGATGCAAAAAAAAAGTATCTGGTGTCATCTTGTAGAACTGAATCTAGAATATATATGGAAATATTTTTTTTTCCATTATAAAATTCTTCGAATAGTAGTTGACATTTGTCAACAAAGATGTCACTAGTCGATGGAAAATATTCTTCAATTTTCATTATTTATTAATCCAAATTTTCATTTAAAATTGCAGATAGAAATAAATTCTCATAGTATTTCATTGAAAAATTAAAAACGATTATAATTAATCATTTATTACATATTATCAAATTCTGTTCACCAACAACTTCTAATTGAAATAATCGTACTAATCATAAATCAAATGTAGGAATAGGAAGTATTACGAAATATGAAGCTCAAATATATCTGATTGAAGGCTATTTATTGAATTTGTAAATAGTTTAAAAATTGATAAAAACTGAAAGATAAAATCATTTCTAACAATTAATTTAGTTTTAGCGATAGAGCTCATTGTAAGGTGTAGATGAATGCAAAGCTTACGTTTCTAAGAATATTTAACTAAAGAACCAAGCATTAGTAATCAAAATACAAAGTTCTTATATCTTAGCGAGTGTAATATTATTTTATCAGATAAAATTCTTGCAACACAGAAAAACAAAACATTAATCGTAAAATGATTCTTTATCTCGGCAAAAAAAAGAATAGAAAGGAAGTATTATTCATTAAAAACACAACATGTGCTTTTGAAAATTTCGATTCTGCGTAAAGAATCTAAAATGGCAAGGTTACATTTAATACAAACTGCATTTTTATATAAGTTGATAAAATCTTCTAAAGTTTAAAATAATTCTAGATTAGTGAACAACAATATTAAATTGAAATTTGAAAATATCTTTTTTATTTTAGATTACGTATTTAAGCCAAATAAAATAATAAAAAAGAAGAATATGACCGATGAATTAATAAATCTACTGATAACCGAATATATTGATATATGGACATTTGAACATCTAATAAATGATTTACAAGCAACAGAAGAAGAAATGATATACTTCGCTAAATTAATGAAACTTATAAAACAAAAAAGGAACCTATCTGGGAAATTTGATTATTATCCATCAGTGGTGATTGATGATTTTCTCTATCATGGTGCTATAAATCATGCGAAAAATCTCAATTTGCTTAAAGATCTCGATATTCGATATATCATTAATACTTGTCATGTACCATTGGGAGAAGAAATTATTAAAAATTTTAATGTATTATGGATTAATATGCAAGATGATGAAGATGTTAATATCAACCAGCATTTTGAAAAAACAAATGAATTTTTATTTTCATGTAAGGAGAAGAAAGAAAAAGTATTAGTTCATTGTCAAATGGGTATTTCTCGATCATCGTCCATCGTTCTCGCTTATCTAATGAAGTAAAATTTATTTTATGTTTACAATCGATGAAATATTTTTTATTCTAGATATCATCATGATACTCTGATGAAAGCTTACGACTTTTTACTCGATCGTCGTCCTATATCATGTCCAAATCGTGGTTTTCTTATACAATTGATTCGATACGAGAAGGAACTACGTAATAGTGGAGAAATTGATAAACAAAAAAATAATGATGATAAACAGAACCCAATCAAAATACTCGATATACCAAATACTTCCAACATCGAATAGTTGTTAGACTAGACAAGAAAAGATAAAAAAAAATTCATTATTTAATTCAGAAATAAACTTTCTACGATATTTCGTGCATTTTAAATTCATAAAAAAGTAAAAATTGTTCTACTACATTTCAGTAAAAATGTAAATATTATTTTGAACGAAAAAAATATTGTGCAGAAGATCTGTCTTGATAATAGAGAATAATTTTTATTTATTTAATAATTCATTTATTGAATATGAAAAACGTCTTTTATTAATAAAGCAATAAATATATATTTATGTCTTACAGTTTAGTAAGAATAAAAAAGGTAAAGCTTGGTATTAGTCATCAAAGCTTGTAAAACAAAAACAAAGAAAGAAGGAAGGAAAATATCCAAAAGTTAACGTCATTTTCAGCATGGATATTTCGAAAAAAACATTCTGTGTATATTGCGCAATTTTATGAGTCATTCAGAGGTAAAAATACAAGATATTAGATAATAAATAGTCGAACTTTTAACATAAATGTTAGACATGAATTCAAAGAATATGATTGAAGAAGAAACTGAAACAACAATGGAGAAAACTATTTTACTTAATATTCCACCACGATTACAATGGGATAATGGCAATGGTTATTGTGGTGAAACAGCTCTTCAGTCTATCGGTATATTTTTTTGTCTATGAACAGTAAAAATAATAACTATTTGATTTGATTAGGTCTCTATTATGGTGCTTGGATTTCTCAAAAATTGATCCGTGATATAAATAAAGGTGAATATCTATTGCAACCAGTGACATCCAATGATCATCGAAAACCGTTGCGTACTTTGACAATACTTCATTTTACATATAATGAATGGGATTGGATTAATTCTCCTCAACCACAATTTCGTCATTTTTGTCATTGGATGAAACGATCAATTATACGACGACATCCTGTCATATTTGGTATTTTTCTTCCCGGGATGAGTTATGAAGATTATGATCATATTGTTCCAGCAGTTGGCATACGATATCAAAATGAAGATCAATATGATCCACATGATAAAATCATCTATCATGATTTATATGAGGATAGAAGATTCGAGAAAAATCTCAACGAAGACGAATTTGGAGCAACTAGAGAAACTATCAATGATGGAGTAGATGATGAAGAAGAAAGTGATGAAGAAGAAAGTAATGAGGATGATGATGATGAAGATGATGATGGATGTCTACCATTGTTTGTAAATATTTTCATTATAATTTGATCATTTAACATAGATAAACATGTTTATATTATAGGTCGACTATGGTATAGCTATTACTGGTATTGTTGATGAAGATTCCGTAACATTACCAGTTCAATTATCTGTTTCTGAATGGGATGAACCTAATCCAGTATTTCGAGAAGATCCCATAGAAATGCTTGGAACTGTTACAGTAAATAATTTGACAATTGGATGTTTCTATGCACTCTTGCAATATTCATCTTACAAATCTGTGCCAACTAGAGGAAATGCCAATGCTTTTCTTCAATCTGATTTTGATGTGAAACGTGAATTTATGGCAGTCAACACGGATTATGTGTATGAAGATCCAATGGCAATAGTATCAAGTGGATCTGTCTACTATCGTTGTGTTTTAATACCTGAGTAATTCTACGAGACATTCATCTTTAGTATCATATACTAAAATTCTAAATAATTATTTGTCGAAAAAATTTTTACTACTTAATATAATAAATAGTCATAATTTCGTTTTTTAAAAATCGTTGTATCATCAATGATAATAGTATTAAAATCTATATCTCAACAAACGTCAACTATTTGTTAAGAAAACTGTAAAGTGAGAATAAGAATATTGCAACAATCGATTAATTAGTGAGTCAATGAACAACTATAATCAATTATAGTTTCTACTAAATGACTGTGGAGTCAATTGAAAGTATCAATTGTGTATGCTTATTGCTCTTTTCGAAACAACATTCTCAGAAATACTTTGTGTATTATTCAAATTAATTTTCTTGGAATTTATGATACTCTATACAAAAATGCTTTTACTAAAGAAAATATTCTCATAGAACATTGTCGATATTTCTATCAAATGAATAGTAAGATGAGTGTGGGTACTGTCATCATTTCACATCGACACCCTCAACGTCAAAAAGACTGTGAATTGATTCTCTATCTAAAATATAATGATTACAATTGAAAGAAGTTTTCTTGGATATGGGCACGGCCAGCTAACGGTCCCCTTCCCTGGTGAAGGTTTAAAATCAGTAATATATAAAAAAAAATTTTTAACAGAAAGTATGATCTTGAAAAAGTGATTGACACTCCTCACAGGAGATTATTTTTAGAAGAACATCATTCTCCTTCTTCTAGATCTGATGATATTTATACATCAATTTCAATACAGAGTTAGACACAACAGAATGTTGTAGACTTTTTAAATGACAAAAAGTTACATCAATTTACCTTACTTTGTAATGATATGGATGGATCTGCATTACAACAATTATATACATTTTGTAACAATAATTCAACTATAGACTTCGAATCTTTACATAAACAATTGAAGAAGAAATCAATCGATGATGATCTATCTCCAACTGAATACACACGCTTTATTAGTGAAATGAAAAAAATATCTATGGATGTTCCACCTCCACCTCATATACGATCAGGTGCCTGCACAATAAGCTAAAATATTTTATAGTTGTGCAATTGTATGCTTTCCTGCAAGGCCAAGACGCTGATTAACAGAACTTTGTACTCATGAATGCTTTAGTAATTTATAATATTTTATATATTCTAATGTATTTTAACCCTCTCGTTACGGGTTTTTTCTTACAGATGTACAGGCTACGACAAAAGTTTAAGCGAATTTAATTTTTTCCTAATACTGACGAGTATCCGTTTGATTCAACCGGTGATCTAAGTAGTATGAGAGACCTACTACATGGTGTATAATATATTTCAATAAGTAAAAGTATACAACAGCTAGTTTGACTTGCCACTATCTTTCCGACTTTTTCACTGAAATCGTATTTATGAACTGATAGTACAGTTTAGGGAAAAATCCTTTTTTTAGCAATCGATAGAGCTTCAAATTCTCTATCGATTAGTATATTTTTTTATTTTTTTTGAGAAAATTTCTTGGTTAGGAAACGCAAAATACTGAAACGCTTAAAAATCATTTTCACTATAAATAATCTATAGAGACAAAGGGGAGAACTGCTTCCAATGTACCATGTAGTAGGTCTCTCATAATACTTAGATCACCGGTTGAATCAAACGGATACTCGTCAATATCAGGAAAAAATTAAATTCGTTTAAACTTTTGTCGTAGACTGTATCTAATGCCCATATATGGGTCATCTGTAATGAAAGGGTTAATCTTTAATATTTTTATTAATACACAAACTATGATCTTGCTACGTCAAAAGTAACATACTTAGGGTGTGGATGTTGGTGTAAATGAATAATGGACACCCACACGCTCAATGTATTTTAATCTTGAGGAAGAATTACTACAGTGGATATAATACCACATATATATCAAAATCCATCTGATGATATCCTAACGCTATCTGTCTTCTTGCCTACGTTTTCTCTTTTCCTCTTTTAATATGTGCCGATTCTCCTTGCTTCTATGGCTTTCCTTATCTTTATTCTTCTGTGTGATGATTGTTATTGTTGTTTTTCTCATTTGTACTAAAAATAAATTGAAATATTACGATAATACATCTCTAGGTAGGCAGTTTTAAATGTGAGACCTCTCAAAGCAGATATCTTTCCCTTGTATTTATTTCCTTTTAGCCTACGTGATGTACGGTGTCTGAAAATCAAGAAAATATTCTTCACCCTATCTATGAGGTTCAAAACGATTGAAATTGATTACCAGAACTGTGTTAATTATTTAATTGTGCACAAATGTAGGCATGATATAATTAGTTATCTAGGACATCAGAATTTGTGGCAAAGAATAGATATCCGTACATAATCAGAAAAAATGGGACTTCCTGGCAGCTAGTCACGCTTATATAAAATGGATCTTAGCATTATCTTTTTTTTTCATAAAAACTTTATAATGTTCATTTGTTCAAATATGCGAGTCCCGTGTGCGTTCATATTATAAGAGTAAAAAAGTAAATATATGTTGCATCATTAACCTATTTTTGTGCATGATATAAACATGTCTCTCAATGCCTTTTCAAATTCTCATTTCCTTCTGAGAAAATGAATTTCAGATAATTATCTTTTTCTAATAAACATTATAATAGTCGGTACTTCTTCTCGTTTCGTTAGATATTCATAATATGCAATTTTTTCTTCTTATTAATTCACACTAACTAATCTTAAAATAGCATTATATACGCCATACAGTATAATGAACAACGTCATTTCTTTTTTTTTCTTCTTCTAAATTTGTTTCAATCCTCGCTCTTTCTCTCTTTGCTCGTTTCTGTTTAAAATTCTGACAAAATCTATAATTGTGTTCATTTCAAGTCATGTAGTTATTGTGTAAAGAAGTATAGAAAACAATAGGTGTATCACATCAGAAAGTTGGCGTAAGGTAACTCTCGTATCGTCTCATACTGAAGAGTTTCAGACTGTGCACTTTCTTTTATCTAGTGAGTATTTTTCTTCAAACACTCTTGAGGATGTGGGTGTGGGTATGATTCATAAAGAAGATAATATTTACACCCTCGCACGCACAATAATAAATGTAATATGAATGTTTTATTTATTTGTAAGATAATCAAGATGGCCTATCTGTATCTATTATGCATATATTATCTTATTTGGACTACACGTACGAATGCATCACTTTCGACAATAGGCAATGTCTACTATAACATGCGTTATAATTCAACAGACACTATAATCACTAGTCTGACGGTAAAATATCAAGTAGTTTGCGCTGCTCAATGTGCAAATCTATTTGTCAATTGCAATACTGCTGTATTTGATAGTTTGGCTATTCCTCAATGCTCGCTATATAGCGGAAGAATAACACCAGCGAATCTTACCGTCTCGATTAGTACAATAGTTTATGACTTTCAGCAGAGTAAATTACCAGGTAGGAAATTTATCGAATTTTCTTCTAGTCTACTTTGTATTTCTTTTTCGTTCATGAATAAATCATTCGGCAAGACTCATTGAGAACTTCTTTGATTCTATCGCTTTCACACACAGAGAGTTATTAAAATTAAAGTTACTGATATTAGAAAATTTTCATTATTAATTTCATTAAGAATTGACATATATTACTAGAATTTTCTGCAGATTACTATTATTTCTAAAGATTCATAATGCTGAAGGTAAGAAGTGAAACATAGATATATGCAATCTTTTCATCAGGATCCAAATTGGGGCATCAAGTTAACTCTCATAGCTTATAGGAGATCCTGAAAGATAGTAGTGAATTTTAATGGATTATACAAATAAATTTACTATATAAAATATGAAAGAAGATATACATTCATCGATTTTGTAACTAACAGTGAGGTGTACTATGTATGCTATAGATTTCGTTTGTTTTTATAGCTACTCCGATCTTACATGGTTGGAATAAAACGGGTATTACGGTAGCTGGTGCGAGTAACGGCTCTGCAGGCAAAGCAGCAAATCTGCTCTCTCAACCATATGGCACCGCATTAGGTTCATCCAACTCACTTTATATTGCCGATTTTGCCAACAATCGCATACAAAGATGGTTAATCAATGAATCGAATGGTACAACGGTGGCTGGTCTATCCAATGCCACTGCTGGTGCAAGCTCAGTTGCTTTAAACATGCCTGTCAGTGTTGTGCTCGATTCCAATGATAATATGTATTTCACAGATAAAATTAATCATCGGGTTGTATATTGGGCAAATGGTGCATCATCTGGCACTACGATTGCTGGTATTCTAGGTATGAAAGATAGAAAAAAAATATTTGTAAACTATTAATTCTCGTTTTATGATTAAAATCTTTATTTATTATCTTTTTCTGATCTATTAATTGAAAATTGCATCAAAACAAAGTCTGCTGAGAATAATCCGTTATATAGAGAAAACACATACTTAATTATTAATAGTTCCTATGGAAAATAATGTTTTGTTATTGATTTCTTGATATTCAAGTTATTCTTCGTGAATAAATATGTTGATCTTGATATATTCTAATTTTTGAATATATATAAACAAAACAAATACTCTACCTTTCTAAAACAGAAATCAATGAAACTCGACATTGTGAGTGATTACAAAGAGTTACATATGACTAAAATAACAGATTATTCAGAGCTTAAGAAATTGAAATGAATAATGAGCATTCTTAGTATATTGTTATGAAGATTGAGCTCCGAACGCCTAATAAAACATAAGCAAAACATTGATCTATACAATTCTAATTCAGGTATTTCGGGATCTACAAACAACACCTTCAATCGTCCGAATGGTATAGCCCGTGACTCCAGCACAGGTACACTTTATATAAGCGATGTACACAATCATCGTATAATGAAATATCTCTTGAATGCTTCTTCGGGTATAGTAGTTGCTGGTGGAAATGGTGCAGGAACTGGTATTACACAATTGTACTATCCGTTTGGCTTTACTTTTGATTCGTCTTCAAATAGTCTTTTAATTGCTAATTATCGAGCACACAATATTGTTCGTTGGGTATTAGGTGCAAGTAGCTGGACACTCGTCATTGGTAGTCTTACTGGATTAAGTGGTAGCACATCAACACTTCTCAATCAACCGGTCGGCATCACATTAGATTCAATGGGCAATATCTATGTAGCTGATTCAAGAAATCATCGCATTCAATTTTTCGTTGCAGGCCAATCCAACGGCATAACAATTGCTGGCGTCACAGGTTTATCTGGCAACAGTCAGAGTCAATTATCGTTTCCCTATTGGGTGACAATTGATGATCAACTGAATTTATATGTATCCGATTATAATAACAACCGAGTTCAATTGTTTCTACATTGTTAAATATGAGTTTCATTCTTTATTACACATCACTCTAAATTTCAAATATACTTTCTTTTATTTAATTATTCTTATATAACTTGAATACTTCATATATGCCATTTCATTATCCTTTCAAATAAATATAAAATCTTTTATTATAATCAAGTAAATATATTTTAATGATAAATATAATACAATCGTTCAGTAATCTCTAGTCATAATCATTTGTGGAACTGTTCATTTCTTAGTTTTTATAAATGACTCAAATAATAAAAAATATCGAAGAGAAAAGAGTTGCACATTTTGGTCGAAGCATCACATAAAAATATCGTAAATTTCTCTCTTTTTTCATATATCTTAATTTCTAACTTGATACTTGCTTTACTCAATCCTCAAGACAATGGAATAAAAGAAGCCTAAAATTTATTGATTTGTGTACTAGTCGATAAGGTAAACATTAAAGAATAATTCACAAATTTTCTAATATACATTATTGATATCAAACTACAATATTCAATCAAACATTGGAGTAGGAGACACAAAAGTATGTGATATTTTCGAGATACACACAAAGTTAAGTAATGATAGTTTCGATCTTTTATTTAACAAAAGTTTAATAGTTTCATGTCAAAAAATCTCTCAAACAAAAATCAATTAAACTATATATAGTCATCATAATTATACCATGTGTAAACTTCAATCAAACAATTCCTACTTACGCTAAGTATAAAAAGTGAGTCGAAAAAAGACGATCAATCTTTCACGGATAGCATGTCGTTACAATATACCGTATCATCTGATTATTATTGTCTTCATAATGATGTAAATTATGCAGATAGTCCTGGTAGTCCACCTTCACTCGATTTAACACAAATCAAACAACTTAATCAGCTTTTACCGCTGAATTTGTATTATTCACACATTTTAATACTTCAGAATGTACAATACAACGTTATCATAGATGTCTTGGTTATCGTCCTCGCATGTCTGTTATTAAAATCAAGAGCATTAATATTTTATCATATTGTTTTGCTTTATTCATATCAGTTGAAATCTCTTTTTTGATGTTTATTTTAGAAAGTATAAATCATCTGAAAATATAGGGATAACTAGTAATCATAACCTCTGATAAAAATATAATAATTATATGTGTTGTAAAATGAAGACTATGATCTATTTCTCTGATTGACTGCAAGATTGAAATACACTCAGATTTGGATTCTATTTGTCTATTGAAGAATCTATCAGTCGCATTCCTTATTATACACATCAGCTCCATAACTATATTTCCACCATCCTGATGATGATAAATACTTTGGATTAACATTTGATGCTCGTATCATTATTCCATAACAAATGATATCATCCTTTAAAAATTCTACATCATTGTTTTTACCTAATATGATCCATTCTAATTCCGAATTATTAAAATTAGGATCTATCCTTACTATTGATTGAGCCTCTACAGGTAATACTGTTTCAGATGCAATACATCCAATCGAATTTGGATTGACACGACATTGAAAAATTAATTGATACCAAATAGTTCGACCATTTTTATCTATTTCATTCCATGGCTGTGCAAAACGTGGATGAGCACAATATTCTATACTTGGTGATAGACAGACTCGTGGTATGCCATCGTCATAAAAGCATCCGCTTCTACTGACTCGAAGACCTGATGCAAGAATATTTAATACATTTTCAATAAGTGTTCCATGATAAGCAATTGGCCAATCTCCCCAACGTTTGTCAAATTCTTTTGCATCATTTGCTACATTAATACTTAATCGTTTCCAACCTAAATTATAATATGAACAAAATATTTGATGTATGAAATGACATATGTTAACCTATTGGACAATAGTATCGTTTACCACCTCGATCAATTGGCGTTGTCCAATAGTATTGCTTACCATTGATATTGTTGAAATAAGTATAATTTCCATTCCATTGTGGATTGAGATAGTGATTAGCCTGTATGCCAATCATAATGGGAAAAATAGTTTCATTTGCTATAAAAAGTGATAAAACATTTGCATAAATTCATTTTTTCAATAAACTTACCAATTAAACTATTTGTTTCATTCGTATTGAAATCTGATATAGTTAATTGTTTTTCTTGCCACTGAACAATTTTCTCATAATCATCTTTCTGTAATCCAAGTTCAACAAGATCTTTGTATAAAGGATCATTTAATGAAAATTTTTTTAAGAAATGCTGAAAGTAAATTTCAGTTAAATCAATTTTTTCATTTCCAAGTTGTTCTCTTAAATCATCATCACCACATAAAGTCATTTGAATAATCCATATTCGATCATCATTACATTTGATACTTTCAACGCGGAAAATCGAACCAACCATAAACAAAACTTGAGATTCATCTGTATGTCTACCAATATCAGCAAATGGTTTTCTAGTAACTATATTAGGATTAGCAATGATTTCAAATAATATTTTTTCTAAATTATTTGCTACATTAGAGAATAAAAGAGCTATTTGATACTTAATATTACTACCAGTAAAGAAAAATGAGTTAATGGAAATTAATTGACCAAGACATTGTCTTAGATTTTCTAGTTCATTCTTTGATATTAATTGACTTCGATACGATTTTAGAATACGTTTACTTTGATAACGTTCCAATTGATCATAAATATCGGATATATATGTACAAAACAAAAACATCATGGGAATATACTGAGTATGTAGAACTGCATTATTGAGAGTCTTGGAGAAAAATGACTGACGAGTATACCACCACAAAACTTTATCAGCGGAATATTTCATTTGAAATTCAGAAATATTGTTCAATTCGATGGGATTACCTTTATATTTGTTTTTCAAACAATTGATAAGTTTATCATTGTCGCTTTGTTTCAATTTCATTCGCAATAAACAATCAATAAGAACTTGAAAGACAAGAAACTCATTATTCTTCACATTTGATATTGATAAAGGCTCTTCAATTTTCTTCTCAATCATATAATTAGCTTGAATTTTTGCAACAAGTTCATCATATCCAACAACAATACCTTTTATCTATTTAAAAATCATAAAATAAAATCTTTGAATATCACAATTTTACTTTTGTAAATTTACATGTCCACTCGTTATTGCTTTTCGTATCCGTACAATATACATAGATGTATATTAATTGTCGAAGATGATGAATCGAAGGTATTAGTTCTAATCCCAATTGATCACTAACAATAAGTATTATTCTCTCATTTTGCGATCGTTGCTCAATATATTGTTGACACTGTTTAACATTTTTAAATTTCTTCAAATGATTGATAATACAACGTAGTTTTTCTTCTGTATTACGAGTGTTCGATATATTTTCATCAAGCCAAATAAGACAAAATATTTCGAAATATTTATCATTAGACTCTTCATGTAAATCATTGTCTATTGAAGTAGTATTTCCCATTTTAATTGAGACAATAAAATTGTGTTATAGGAGAAGAAAAAAATCTCGTAGATAATACAAAACCTTTCCATAGTAACGGTATGAAAAGTTACATTCATAAATCTAATAAAAGACTTACCACATGTATTCTTGTCTGTATGTTTCTTTCACTGAATCTTATTTTTTACTCTAGTCAAATGGCAAGAATCAACATTATTTTTCTTTCTTTCTTTCTTTTTGTATAACTACGCATTTTGTTTACATCGCATGTACATAGTTAACGTAAAATTTTTAAAGTGACAAAATAATACTCTATCCTCACTCGGCGACATAGTTACTGAAAATACAAATAGTTGAATTAATTCTAAATGTTTATGGTTCTCAAACACATTGTGTTTTGAAAGTCACTCGACAAATTTTTTATTTAGATATAGATGGAGTCACTTGAGAGTGTGATACATTCTTTTCAAAAAAAAGGAGTTTTACCGAAATAGGTCGAAATAACTCTCTGAAGTCAATCTAGAAGATTCCGAATGCTCGGAAATAGGCATGCACCAGTATAGTCTGACTGGGTATATGTTTTAACAGATTCATTATATATTTACCAAGGGGTATACAACAGAGACTTTATGCATAAAGTCTCCTGAAATCTTTTGAAGGCTGTCGAAGTCTTCTAAAATCTTCTGAAGTCTTTCGAAAAACTGAAGTCTCCCTTACTGAAGTCTCTTGAAGTCTTTGAAGTCTCGAAGTCCGCTGTTACCCCCTTGATATTGCTTTCTGTGGCCTACCGAAAATGTATTAGATCAGTTATTCTATCGAAGATTTTGTTTTTCAAAATAATCTCTATTGATACTATATCACTTTATAAAGAAATGATATTAAAAAAATGTGAGCGATCTATTGAATAATCAAGAATCTCCATTCAGAATTAATAAAAGAGATTAAAGTAAAAATATAGATATTTATTATTATTATTGTTCATATTTTCTTCTTCTCATTTTTTTTATCGATTGTACAAAAAAATAGAAATTGAAAAAAGGAAAAAGCTTTCGCAAACAAAAAAAAACGATCGTATGATCAGAACTAATTCTAAACAAGTAAAAAACAAGACTATACAAATGAGAGAAACACTTTCCAAGAATAAAAATCTTTTTGTTTTCGTCGTCTTTCCCAATGAGTCTCTATGAATAAAGAATAGAATGTCTGATGTTGTTGTGATATTTGTTTACGAAAGTACCACCAATCCTATTTTTTGTCTTTTTTAACAGCAGCTGAATTAGTCGTTTTAACCATTTTGCCAGATGAAGAAAGTGCTTTCTTTTCAACTTCTTTAATAACACCAACAGCTACAGTTTGACGCATATCTCTCACAGCAAAACGACCCAATGGTGGATAATCAGCATATTTTTCAACACACATTGGCTTTGTTGGAATTAATTTCACCATACCAGATTCACCTGATTTAAGACATTTTGGAGCTTCTTCAATAACTTTACCTGATCGACGATCAACTTTTGAAATTAATTCAGCAAATTTACAGGCAATATGAGATGTATGACAATCAAGTACTGGTGCATAACCTTGACTAATCTGTCCAGGATGATTAAGTACAATGACCTACAAAAATAAATAATAGACTTTGAAATATGAATGAATAATATTATATATAAACTAACTTGAGCTGTAAAACTTAAAGTTTCTTGTGCTGGATCATTTTTTGAATCAGAACAAACGAAACCACGTCGAAGATCTTTAACACTAACACCTCGAACATTGAAACCAACATTACAACCAGGTGGAGCTTCTATAAATAAAATAAAATAATAAATATATGTGAATAGACTAAGATAGTATATACCTTGAAGGTCATCGTGATGCATTTCAATGGATCGAACTTCTGCTGTTAAGGTTGATGGAGCAAAATTAACGACCATATTGGGTTTGAGTATACCAGTTTCAACTCGGCCAACAGGTACTGTACCAATACCACCAATTTTGTAGACATCTTGAATTGGTAATCGAAGTGGTTTATCCGTTGCACGTTGTGGAGGTAAAATAGCGTCCAAAGCTTCGAGTAAAGTTTTGCCTGTAGCATTACCTTCTTTACGAACAACTGACCAACCTTTATACCAAGGCATATTTTCTGATGCTGTTATCATATTATCACCATACCATCCCGAAATAGGTACAAAAGGGACAGTTTCAGGTTGATAACCAATTTTTTTAATATATGCTGATACTTCATTTTTAATTTCATTAAAACGTGCTTCAGAAAATTGTGGTTCTGTTGTATCCATTTTATTTACAATGACAATCATTTGTCGAACACCTAATGTATATGCAAGAAGAGCATGTTCACGTGTTTGACCATCTTTGCAAATACCAGCTTCGAATTCACCCGAACTAGCTGATACAACTAATACTGCACAATCAGCCTAATAGGAAACTTGCATATGTATAATTTCGTAGAAGAAATCAAAAGGACTTACTTGTGAAGTACCTGTAATCATATTTTTAATAAAATCTCGATGTCCTGGCGCATCAATAATAGTAACATTATATGCATTTGTTTCGAATTTACAAAGTGAAATATCAATAGTTATACCACGTTCTCGTGAAGATTTTACTTTATCCATAACCCAAGCATATTTAAATGAACCTTTACCCATCTATCAATTATACAAAAATATATCTATGATTAAAATAAAATCTGAATCTATACTTCGGCAGCTTCTTTTTCAAATTTTTCAATCGTTCGTTTATCGATACCACCACATTTGTAAACTAAATGACCCGATGATGTTGATTTACCAGAATCAACATGTCCAATAATAACAATATTAATAAGTGTTTTTTCTTTACCCATGATTGAAGATCACAGCTTGGAAAAATTAGAGTTTAATACTTTTCGAAAATGTGATCTATTAAAAATTATTTTCGTCTATTTATATGTAGATCATTCATGTAACGTAATTATGTTATGTAATTATGTAAGATTTTTTAAGATGATGATATATTTCGAAATTTAGTTTAGCAATAATGCGAAAAAAAGAATACATTGCATCATACACATTTTTTTTATCTACGTATTATGTGTTCAATTATTTTAACTATTCTTAATGAATTGAAGATATATTTTTTAATTTTATGTCAATAAATACATTATATATATGCTGTGTGTAACACAGAAAAAAATCTTATAATCAAAATATTTTTTATTCATAGTGTGTTTTCTTACGCAATATCACTCGTGACTTGTGTAATTACTCGGATCATTTCAGGCAGGTTATTATTACGATAAATTCTTTAAATGTAATAAAATAAAGTGAAAGTGAGATTACATGATATGTATAAAGAGCTGAATCAAATATTTTCGACAGTGTAATGATTGATATGATGAAAAAAAATTCAGCAACCACCGTTGTTAGTATTGTCATAATTAAAAAGAGTGAGTGGGTGTAGAATATATATATATAATTTATTTTTCAAAGAAGACTTTGCTAAAACTAATACATATGATTATGACAATCGTTGTTTTAACAACGTGCATCGTCAACGGACTTCATACATGTCAATTATTATTAGGTTATTTACAACAAAATATATGCAGTATGTATATGTTCTAATTTATCTTTTTTTTGCATATCCTCTTTTCTTAGAGAAATAATATTATTTTTGATAATTTTCTTTCGATTCATTTTCTGGAAATGAATATTGCATTTCAATTTTGCTTTAAAATGAAGATTAATATACTACTTATTCTAAATTTGTTTCTCATACTACATGACAGTAAAATTTTACATATTATTTCTTTACTAATTCTTAATAAAATCGAAGTCGACTACTTTTGTATTGAATTTTTACAAGAGACGCGGCAAAAAAAATCGATATTTACAAAAATAGTTCTCTATTTTTAACAATTCTTTTTCAAATTACATTCGTTTTATTTAGGAATATCTGTTTACCGTGTACTGATTTTAAGATATACTTTCTCTAAAACTTGGAGATTTTGAATGTGTTTCCGTAATACAAAGACCAAGACTTTTATTACTATGTTGAATGGTTTGTTTTCTTTTTCAGTTATTTTAAATAGATGTATAAGTATAAAAAACATATTCATTAGTATATCTTCTGTGAATACCTCCTCATCTATTTATTCGAACTCTATATATAGACAATTAAGATAATATAACGAAAACATAACTTCGTTGCAAAATTCATTTAATAATTGAATAATATCCTTGATATATTCGCTCTCAGTGAGACGTCTAGAATCAAACAATTTTCTAAGCATAAAAAAATAAACGTCTCTTGCAAATCTTTTTTTCTTTAATAAGATAAAAAAAGATTGAAGCCTTTCAAATTACACACTCAAGCAAATAATTTCATCTACTCAAAAATAGAAAAAAATTATTCATGCAAATTATTTTAATTATTTTATCACAATACTCACTCTATAATAGAGAGTTTCTATCTCAACTAAATTCTAGACTGGCATGCGACATAAATAAATCTATTTTTTAATTTTTTTTACTACATTTGAAAACTTTTTTAATGTACATCTTCATACTAGAGATGATCGTAGAGAATTTATTGAGAGGTTTTAGAAACGATTCTGGTATATACATGGTGCTATTATAGGGTATCAGATCGGAATCTTACGTTATTAGATGTCTCCCTATGATCGGATTTTCGTGATTACGGCAATGTCTGACGTTATCCGGTCCGGAATCCGATGAAATTTCATTTGGTACCGGTAGGTTTTTGTTGAAAATCTGACGCGTTCCGGAGAAATCCAACATCGGATTCAATAGTTTCCCGTAGGATTTAAAGGTCAGATTGAATGACATGGGTAGATACAAAAGTTTTTCTATGGAGAAAAACATGGTCATACTAGTAATTAAAGACTTTTATTATCAATTTGACAGTAATTTCTGCTATGATGCTTCATAGATAATAAATGAGAAGAAACACACTCATGTTTTTTTTTATATTAAATTCTAGATTTTCCAACAAAGGAAGAAAAACAAATAATAAAGAATATGTCATTTTAAATAAAGTAACATGTCGTCGTCGTCCGTGTCTGATGGAGGGTGGGTGTGGGTTTCTTTTCTCTATCTTTCATCCAAACCCACACCCTCAAAAAAAAGATCATTCAATCAGATGCATGCTTCAGTTCTAATGAGACTTCTATAGAACCTTTCCATATCCTCAATTTTTTTATCAAAACCGCCGGTTCCTTAAAAAACCAGCAGTTAAAATCGACTTTTCTATAATTTCATTAGAAAATGTCATAAACACATTATTTTTCATGAAAAAAGTCTGTTTCTGATAATTTACGCCATGTTTCATAAAAATCTCAAAAATTCCTGATTATAGGTTAAGACTCGAACTAATGACTATTTTTTATAGCGCTATCTTTAATTATATTCAAACTCGAAAACTCAGTAAAATTAGGCGATGTGGCTTCAGCACGTTTACATATATAAGGAGGCGTGATTTCCACTAAAATTTAAAAAGTATTTATTTAGTTAGAAATGAAACAATATAAGGAAAAATAATCGCGGTTTGCACGACATGATTTTATAGTCATATTTAAAGCTTTTCGATAAAATTCTTATTGAGTAGTGAGAAAGATATCAACATCTTCATTAACGATAATCTTTATTGAGGAGAAAATAACATTAAATATCTTAAAAGACTACTGTCAATGTATTGCGCAGATGAATTAAAACACGTGTTCTATAAGTGCATTACTGTTTAATTAAATATTTTAATGACATATTTGTTTTTGACATGAAAGATGAACATACATTCTCTCTTTCTTATTTATGTGTAGATAGTCCAAAGAAAAAAAAATCATTCTTTATTCTTTTATAATTACAAGTTACAAATAACTCTAGTGAGAAATTCGAGTACTCTTTTATTAAATTTTAATTTTATATTCTATATTCAAAACTGATATATCATATTAGTAATTAAAGACTTTTATTATTAATCGTGACAGTAATTTCTAATATGATGCTTCATAGATAATAAATGATAAGAAAAAGATTCATAGTTTTTCATACTAAATAATTTTAGATTTTCCAGCAAAAGAAGAAAATATCATGTCAACATCATCAGTATCTGATGGAATTCTTAACTTTGCTACACAATACTCAATTTATACTGGTTATATTACATTTGCTTTTGGATTTATTGGTAATGTGCTGAATCTTCTCGTTTTTACTCAATTGAAATTATTTCGAAGTAATGGATGTGCCTTCTATATAACTATTGAATCAATATCCAACTTACTATATCAGTTTTTAACTATTAGTTTAACTATTTTAACATCAATATATCAAGATGATGCAACAGGACGCTTTTCCTTTTGGTGTAAATTAAGATATATAGTAGGACAAACATGTGCGCTCACTACTTTTTACATGATATGTTTCACTACTATTGATCAATTCTTTTCGACGAATCATCGTTTTAATTTAAGACAAATGTGTACATTGAAACTAGGGCGTTATTTTGCTTTTATATTGATTTGTTTTGCAATCATTCATGGCGTTGTGGTTGGCTCTTCTTTCAGTGTTCAACCAACATTAGGATGTGTCTTAACGAATTATATAGCGGTTCAGTATTCAACATATTTCTTTTATCCAATTTTAGTTGGTCTTCTGCCTGTTGTCATTGCATCATCATTTAGTATCTTAGCTTATCATAATGTTCGTCGTATAGTTCGACGACAATTACCCATCGTTCGTCGTAAATTAGATAAACAAATAACAGCCATGGTTCTTATGCGTGTAATTGCCTTCGTTTTTTTAGTATTACCTTTTGTTACTTATCGTATTTATACCATTAATTTTCCTGTATCTCGAAGTGTGCCTATGGCATATGCAATTGGTAAATTGATTCAAGCAATTCTTACTTCTATCTACATTATAGATTATATAGTAAAATTACTTTCTTTTCTAATTCATAGTTGTAAGATTTTGGTTTATTTTAGATCAACTTTTATCTTTTTCTAATATTCTCACCACGTTTTCGTCGTCAAGTAAAACTTGTTTTAGTAAAAAAATGTTGGCAACGATGGAAATATTGGTGTTGCTCCATAAATAATCGAATTGAACCTGACAACATTCCTGAAACGCGCAATTCACAAATAGAATCTGAAGAAAATGTCTGACTATTCATTAAATAAATTAATTAATTCTCATATGTTTTTTTCTTTCTTGAAAGTGGGTGTGTGTGTGTGTGTGAATACTGTATTCACCTAGCACCCACACCCACACCATCATTAATAGATTAAATATATTTTGATTAATATTAATTGCAACAAAATTGTTAATAAACTTTTACACGAGAATAATTCACATTGATAGAAGAAATGACCTTTTATATATCGATCGTAAGAACAAGAAGGTAGATCAAAATAAATTTAATCACATAACATCTCATCTTGAGGAAAACTTTATGAAAGAATTCCACATGACGCCGCATTTCAAGATGAAACCGGTCCATAATTGGCATCGGAACTTGCCAGATTATATAGGAATACAGGCGTTCCATTAATCGTATTTGTTCGTATTGAATAGCATAGATCCGTTAGGAGTCATTTATTGGTACGTATCAGAAATAATCAGAAGACTACGTATGTGATTCTGGGTAACGACTAACATTTCGTAAACGAAATAATATTCAATAGTTACATTGCGAACTGAGTTCGCTGCGTTTTATTGAACGAAAGCAACCTGAATGAATAGTAATTATCAAATGTAAACAACTGTTGTATATCGAGATAATAATTGCTTCAATATTAAACAACTTAAGTGAGGCAAACAAAGTAGCGTCTAAAATTAATTACATTTTTGTATAATGATAGAGGGGGAAAACTGATTTCTTAATTTCAAATTATTTTGTATTAGTAGAGATCACTTTGTTCTCCAATGGTAATAGCATTGTCGTCGCATAAAAAAAAAGTAAAAAAAATTATTGAATTATCATTGATTATTAGAAATCGATTTTGGTTGAATGATCGTAATAATTGTTTGAAAGCTATTATAATCAAAATGATGCTTTTTTAACTGATTAAAAATCGTTTTTTAATAAATTTTTTGGGAAATTTTTCATGAGCATCTATGATGAATTTTACATTGATCTTCACAAACAAAATCTAGTCGGTTAAGTATAAGTCATATTCATATAAATATTTTGCTCCTTTTATAGATTGTTGAGATGCAGTTTAAAAATTTTACATATTTAGGAATATCTGTTTACCGTCTGCTAATTTCAAGATATACTTTCTATAAAACTTGGAGATTTTGAATATATTGCTGTAATAAAAAGACCAAGACTTTTATTACTATGTTGAATAGTTTGTTTTCTTTTTCAGTTATTAGATGGATTTATGAATATAAAAAACATATTCATTAGTATATCTTATGTAAATACCTCCTCATCCATTTATTCGAACTCTATATATAGACAATCAAGATAATATAACGAAAACATAACTTCGTTGCAAAATTCATTTACTAATTGAATAATATCCTCGATATATTAGTTCTTAGATATTTGTAAAAACTTCAACAATTTGATTTTCAAAGGAAAAAATACTTTCTATTTATTGAAACTTCTAAAATCAAACAATTTTCTAAGCATTAGATAATGAACATCTCTTGCAAATCTTTTTTTCTCCAACAAGATAAAAGAAAGTAATATTGTCCCAATGTCCCGAACATTACAAAATAAACATCTAGTGCAAATCTTTTTTTGTTAACCTAGATAAAAAAAGATTGAAGCCTTTCAAATAACATACTCAAGCAAATAATTTCATATCCTCAAAAAACAGAAAAAATTTATTCATGTAAATTATTTTATCACAACATTCACGATACGATGGAGAATTTCTATCTGAACTAAATTCTAAACTGGCATGCGACATATACAAATCTTTTTTTAAATTTTTTTAAGTACATTTTAAAACCTTTTTAATGTACACCTCCATACGAGATATGATCGTAGAGAATTTATTGAGAGGTACAAGGAATGATTCTTGTATATATATTGCGCTATTATAGGATTAAATCAATAAATAATAGTGCTGGAGGAATTTTCATTTAATCTGTCTGCGATCGGTACAAATCCAGTCAGTTTCCGACGGTACGAGATTGGAACCTTACTATATCAGATGCTTGTCTATGATTGGATTTTTCTGACGTTATCCGACCCGAAATCCGTTAGTTAAGAATCCGCTAAAATTTCATTTGGTACCGGTAGGTTTTTATCGAGAATCCGACATTGGATTCGATAGTTCCCCGTAGGATTTATAGGTCGGATTAAATAACATAATAGATACAAAACTTTTTCTATGAAAAAAGAAGCATTGTCGTACTAGTAATGAAAGACTTTTATTATCAATCGTGACAGTAATTTCTGCTAAAATGCTTCATATTTTTTTTATCTTAAATTTCAGATTTTCCAGCGAAGGAAGAAAAACACAAACAATAAATTATATATCATTGTGAATAAAGTAACATGTCATCGTCGTCCGTATCTGATGGAATTCTAAAATTTGCTACACAATACTCGCTTTATACTGGTTGTGTTATATTTAGTTTTGGAGTTATTGGTAATGTGTTGAATCTTCTCGTTTTTACTCAATTGAAACAATTTCGAACTAATCGATGTGCCTTCTATATCACCATTGAATCAATTTCCAACTTAATTTATCAGTTTTTAACTATTAGTTTAACTATTTTAACATCTATATCTGGAGATGATGCAACAGGACGTTTTTTCATCTGGTGTAAATTCAAAAATATATTAGCACAAATATGTGGGCTTACTACTCTTTATATAATATGTTTTTCTGCTGTTGATCAATTCTTTTCAACAAATCATCGTTTCAGTTTGAGACAAATGTGTACATTGAAATTAGGTCGATATCTTTCGTTTATATTCATTTGTTTTGTGATCATTCATAGCGTTGTGGTTGGCTCCTCTTACAATGTTCAACCAATATTGGGATGTGTCTTATCAAATTACGCAGCGATTCAGTACTCAACATATTTCTTTTATCCAATTTTAGTTGGTCTCCTGCCTGTTGTCATTGCATCATCATTTAGTATCTTAGCTTATCATAACGTTCGTCGTATAGTTCGACGACAATTACCAATTGTTCGTCGCAAATTAGACAAACAAATAACAGCCATGGTTCTTATGCGTGTAATAGCCTTCGTTTTTTTAATATTACCCTTTATTACTTATCGTATTTATACTACTAATTTTCCTATACCACGAAGTATGCCTATGGCATATGCAATTGGTAAATTGGTTCAAGCAATTCTTACTTCTATCTACACTATAAATTATGTGGTAAATAAACTTTCTTTTCTAATTCATATTTGTAAGATTTTGGTTTATTTTAGATCAACTTTTATCTTTTTCTAATATTCTCACCACGTTTTCGTCGTCAAGTGAAACTTGTTCTAGTGAAAAAATGTTGGCAACGATGGAAATATTGGTGTTGCTCTATTAATAATCGAATTGAACCCGACAACATTCCTGAAACACGCAATTCACAAATAGAATCTGAAGAAAATATATAACTATTCATTAAATAAATTAATTAATTCTCATGTTTTTTCTTTCCTGAGAGTGAGTGTGTGTGTGAATATGAATGCTGTATTCACCTAGCACCCACACCCATCATTCACATATTCCTTATGTATTTCATATAATATAACCAATAAAAACGAATTAATACTAGAGAAAATTTTATGTCGTTTACCAGATGATGATAATACCTGATGATGTGGGTGTGGGTAGACATAATTAACAAAGATACCTTCGCCTACACACAGATCCTCTCAAAGTGGCCGAGGATGGGTTAATAACTCTACTCATCTGACGATTAGATTTCTTTTCACGATAAGATGTCATTAGTTTTATGATATACGATAATGGAAGAATAAGACAAATTAGTAAAAACATGCGTGTCGATCACGTCATAACCACCTGACCAGATAATGGTTTTCTATGTCTTTGTTTTTTTCCATTGTTTCGGAAGCATCCAACAAAATATTATAAAAAATTGCAGAAAAAAAGATGCAGATTACAAAGTAAATCTACATATTTAAGAAAGATGATTGATCTAATGACTGCATTAGCAATATGTTGTTGTCAAGGAATACACATGGTATAAATTGTTCACAAATGTTAAAGTTGTTTACTCTTTTGTGACCATTAATTATTCTGTATTGTCAATAGTTGTTGTAATTCATATTTTTACTTTCTCGTAAAACATTTCGATACAATAGTACTTATATTGGTAAACTAGATGAGGAATTCTATAAGCAATTTGAATAAATTTTTTAAGAATGTTATGGATGACAGCGTAGATGGGAAAAGTGATGAATAAAGTATCTACACTCACATTTCAATATATATTTTTTTTCATATTCGAAACAATTTTGTTAGACGTCTCAGCCAAATATTTAACATATTGTATAAATAAATGAATTCTATTAATTTCATTTAATTTGTCTTTGTTTTCTTATGAAAACAGATAAACAAAAATTAAGAGACAGATATTAATATACAGCTTCATCATATGACAAAAAGGGGGTAAAATCGAGAGAAATGTAGTATATCAGATAAGAGAAAACGGGAAGCAACAGTATGTTGTATATAAAGTGATGATGAAAGCGAATTATTTCAATATAACATAAACGGTAGAACGGTAGGTATGATAAGTCATTTTCTAATAAATTATAGCATAGTTTGTATTAAAAACAAACAGACTGTTATTATCTCGGAAGAATAATATCAAAAGTATCAAATCATGATAGGATACATCAAATAAATTGAAGGATATCTATGGAAGATTTCAAAAATTCTCATCATTCTCACTGTATTTTAATTCCCGATTATGAAATCTAAATGACCTATATGCGGCTTTACAAAGTTGGATGCTTGTGTTGTTTGCATAAACTAGTGATATCCTTTCGCGTATGAAGCAGTTTTTTTCCTATCATTGTGTGAAATATATCGAGATGTTTTGTCATGTAAAACACATTATTTTTTTCTACGGTTCCTCTTTCGTTGAAAAAAGTCATAGAAAAAACCACTAGACATTCTGCATGTGTTCTATTTAATTTCATGCGTCAGATACAGTAAAATTAT